ATATATAAATTTTTTTTTTTTAATAGCCATCTTTTGTCTAGATTCCAGCTCAGCACATTTAGGAGGTATTTTTAAATAGTATTGAAGGGTTTCAGATGTAGCTTATATTGAATACTTGTTGGCTGCTTTTCTCTCACTTCCTGCTCCAACCAGATTTTTTTTTTTAATTCATAAAAAAAAAAAAAAAATTGTATTTTCATAACTCCAGAAGCCTTTAGATCAACAGTCTTTTCATGAGCCTGAATTCCCCCTCTCTTTCACAGCCACTAGTTCAGCTCACCTGGAGGATCTTGCGTATCTAGATGAGCAGAGACAGGCTCCACTGCGGACGTCTTTGCGTATGCCACGACAAAACTCCGGTTCCAGCCGCTCTGGACAAGCTGACATGAGAGGTGTGTATATTTTTCCTAGATTTATTAAATGTCCACTCTTCAATCCTTTCACTTCACCCACCACCTTGTGTATATTACCAGTCACAAGTGTAGACAGACCTACTCATTCTATGTCAAATCTAAGTCGAGTCACATTTATTTGTATAGCAATTTATACAATACGGATTGTTTCAAAGCAGCTTTAAATAGCAGTATTGTTTAAATGCTCTTCAATTATGAAACAAATACAATTTTAGCAGTAAAGCAGCTCTAAAAGACAATAGTGTCATCAATCAGCTCAATTTAGTTCAATAGCAGTGTGATTGCAAAGATTTTTTTTTTTAATTCATAAAAAAAAAAAAAAAATTGTATTTTCATAACTCCAGAAGCCTTTAGATCAACAGTCTTTTCATGCAAAACATAAGTCATATCAGCTTGCTGGGGTCGTTGCTACTCATTTTACACACAAAGTGAAAAGCCAATCATAACAGCTGTCGTTTACATATAAGGTGCTGTAGAAATATAGCCAGCTTAGTCTGAGAGAGGGTAGAAAATGGTCATTTAAATCTCAATTATGACTGATTTTGGTGATTAACATTATAAGTGGACTCTAGGGGAAACAAAAATAGAATTCTACAAAATAATAGAATATGTCCCTTCTAAAATTAGCCTTTGCAATGTAATGACGTGTGTGTGTGTGTGTGTGTGTGTGTGTGTGTGTGTGTGTGTGTGCGCGCATGCGCGCGTGCGTGCGTGTGTCTTGCCTCTCGTACATCTGCCCTCCGCTACACACAGCATGTCCCATTAAAACCCTCAACACACTCCGCAGCTCTTCCGTGGATCACTCTCCCCCCTCGTCCTGCTGTTCTCGGTTTCCCCTTTGGACTGCCGTGCCATAATCTGTCTCCTGTCCAGATCGATGTATTGACTTCCTATTAGCATTAGCTCTGGCTCATCTGTCAGAGCTCGGCCTGCTGTCTAAAGCTCACAGTCAAGGCTCCACACATCCTAAATCTTGCTGGCTGGGAGCGAGCCTCGGAGGTCTAGGTTTCCTCTCAGATTCAGTCAGAACTCCAATAGCTTGAGTCACAATTCAACAAATAACCTGTATATTTCAGGATGATCGCACAGGTGACAAAACAGTGGAGGTAGACTGTATCTGTGTGCTTATTCATACACCCTTTTCACATTCCTGGGGTTCTCAGAAGCAGATGTCATGATAGTTGGGTAAACTTCTATAATATGGTGAACGAAAACTACAACAAATATCGGGAATACTTTATTTTAAGGTGTCCTTGTTATACATATTACATCTACTTACTATTATAATAACAACTAATTATGCATAATTACATACAAGTAACCCTAAGCCAAACCCTAATCCTAACCACATATAGTAAGTGCATGTAGTTAATTAATATTACTCAGTACTTAAATGTATAATTACACTGTAACAAGGACACCTTAAAATAAAGTATTCCCGATATTTGTTGTAGTTTTCGTTCACCATATTATAGAAGTTTACCCAACTATCATGACATCTGCTTCTGAGAACCCCAGGAATGTGAAAAGGGTGTATGAATAAGCACACAGATACAGTCTACCTCCACTGTTTTGTCACCTGTGCGATCATCCTGAATTGAAAATGTTAAACTATATTTTTTAAAATATTAACACTAGCCTGAATTCCCCCTCTCTTTCACAGCCACTAGTTCAGCTCACCTGGAGGATCTTGCGTATCTAGATGAGCAGAGACAGGCTCCACTGCGGACGTCTTTGCGTATGCCACGACAAAACTCCGGTTCCAGCCGCTCTGGACAAGCTGACATGAGAGGTGTGTATATTTTTCCTAGATTTATTAAATGTCCACTCTTCAATCCTTTCACTTCACCCACCACCTTGTGTATATTACCAGTCACAAGTGTAGACAGACCTACTCATTCTATGTCAAATCTAAGTCGAGTCACATTTATTTGTATAGCAATTTATACAATACGGATTGTTTCAAAGCAGCTTTAAATAGCAGTATTGTTTAAATGCTCTTCAATTATGAAACAAATACAATTTTAGCAGTAAAGCAGCTCTAAAAGACAATAGTGTCATCAATCAGCTCAATTTAGTTCAATAGCAGTGTGATTGCAAAGTTCATTAGTTATGAAGCAAACTAACTATACAGCAGCTCTATAAGATAATAACACAAAGAGAAATAAGTATGGAAATAATTTATTGACCAAAAAATGTAAATCCAAACAAAATTATATATATATATATATATATATATATATTTCTCTCCCTCCCTGCCCCAACCAGTTTTTTTTTTTTAATTCAAAAAAAAAAAAAAAAAAATTGTATTTTCATAACTCCAGAAGCCTTTAGATCAACAGTCTTTTCATGCAAAACAGAAGTCATATCAGCTTGCTGGGGTCGTTGCTACTCATTTTACACACAAAGTGAAAAGCCAATCATAACAGCTGTCGTTTACATATAAGGTGCTGTAGAAATATAGCCAGCTTAGTCTGAGAGAGGGTAGAAAATGGTCATTTAAATCTCAATTATGACTGATTTTGGTGATTAACATTATAAGTGGACTCTAGGGGAAACAAAAATAGAATTCTACAAAATAATAGAATATGTCCCTTCTAAAATTAGCCTTTGCAATGTAATGACGTGTGTGTGTGTGTGTGTGTGTGTGTGTGTGTGTGTGTGTGTGCGCGCATGCGCGCGTGCGTGCGTGTGTCTTGCCTCTCGTACATCTGCCCTCCGCTACACACAGCATGTCCCATTAAAACCCTCAACACACTCCGCAGCTCTTCCGTGGATCACTCTCCCCCCTCGTCCTGCTGTTCTCGGTTTCCCCTTTGGACTGCCGTGCCATAATCTGTCTCCTGTCCAGATCGATGTATTGACTTCCTATTAGCATTAGCTCTGGCTCATCTGTCAGAGCTCGGCCTGCTGTCTAAAGCTCACAGTCAAGGCTCCACACATCCTAAATCTTGCTGGCTGGGAGCGAGCCTCGGAGGTCTAGGTTTCCTCTCAGATTCAGTCAGAACTCCAATAGCTTGAGTCACAATTCAACAAATAACCTGTATATTTCAGGATGATCGCACAGGTGACAAAACAGTGGAGGTAGACTGTATCTGTGTGCTTATTCATACACCCTTTTCACATTCCTGGGGTTCTCAGAAGCAGATGTCATGATAGTTGGGTAAACTTCTATAATATGGTGAACGAAAACTACAACAAATATCGGGAATACTTTATTTTAAGGTGTCCTTGTTATACATATTACATCTACTTACTATTATAATAACAACTAATTATGCATAATTACATACAAGTAACCCTAAGCCAAACCCTAATCCTAACCACATATAGTAAGTGCATGTAGTTAATTAATATTACTCAGTACTTAAATGTATAATTACACTGTAACAAGGACACCTTAAAATAAAGTGTAACCCAAATATAATTTTTGTGTTCCCATTTGCTCCAAAAGCAAAATAACAAATCCATGATGGTGTTTCTATGCAAAAGAGGAAAAAATATAGAGCGATTGATTACATTAGGCAGAAAAGAGAAGGATGTCAAATGGGCCGTCATTTCCTCTGCCGGTGTATTAGAAACCCTCATGCAGTAGCATTAACTAGTATTATACAATTTACACAAAATGTAGTGTTATCAATGCGTGTTTTGTGTGTGTGTGTGTGTGTGTGTGTGTGTGTGTGTGTGTGTGCGCGCATGCGCGCGTGCGCGCGTGTGTCTTGCCTCTCGTACATCTGCCCTCCGCTACACACAGCATGTCCCATTAAAACCCTCAACACACTCCGCAGCTCTTCCGTGGATCACTCTCCCCCCTCGTCCTGCTGTTCTCGGTTTCCCCTTTGGACTGCCGTGCCATAATCTGTCTCCTGTCCAGATCGATGTATTGACTTCCTATTAGCATTAGCTCTGGCTCATCTGTCAGAGCTCGGCCTGCTGTCTAAAGCTCACAGTCAAGGCTCCACACATCCTAAATCTTGCTGGCTGGGAGCGAGCCTCGGAGGTCTAGGTTTCCTCTCAGATTCAGTCAGAACTCCAATAGCTTGAGTCACAATTCAACAAATAACCTGTATATTTCAGGATGATCGCACAGGTGACAAAACAGTGGAGGTAGACTGTATCTGTGTGCTTATTCATACACCCTTTTCACATTCCTGGGGTTCTCAGAAGCAGATGTCATGATAGTTGGGTAAACTTCTATAGTATGGTGAACGAAAACTACAACAAATATCGGTAATACTTTATTTTAAGGTGTCCTTGTTATACATATTACATCTACTTACTATTATAATAACAACTAATTATGCATAATTACATACACGTAACCCTAAGCCAAACCCTAATCCTAACCACATATAGTAAGTGCATGTAGTTAATTAATATTACTCAGTACTTAAATGTATAATTACACTGTAACAAGGACACCTTAAAATAAAGTGTAACCCAAATATAATTTTTGTGTTCCCATTTGCTCCAAAAGCAAAATAACAAATCCATGATAGTGTTTCTATGCAAAAGAGGAAAAAATATAGAGCGATTGATTACATTAGGCAGAAAAGAGAAGGATGTCAAATGGGCCGTCATTTCCTCTGCCGGTGTATTAGAAACCCTCATGCAGTAGCATTAACTAGTATTATACAATTTACACAAAATGTAGTGTTATCAATGCGTGTTTTTTAAAGTGCCCCTATTATGGATTTTTGAAAATGACCTTTCATGCGGTGTGTAACACAGCTCTAAGTGAATGAAAACATCCTGCAAAGTTTTAAATCTGAAAGTGCGCCGTGTATAAAGTTGTTGTCACTCAAAAGAAAGAGTCGACTCTGAATCATTGAAACGATTCGTTTTTAAAGCGAATCCCAAGCCGTTTCATGTTGAAGTCAACATGAAACATTAGCATATTGCCCGGCCACTTGTTGGTATGAATGAAAATGCAGTTTCATTCTTTGCCACTAGGTGCCGCTTTTTTAACCAAAATATGAACCATTCATTACCCATAATAGGGTCACTTTAAATGAAAATGTGAAACAAAAAACTGATTTACAATGTTAGTTGATGAATGTGGAAACGCATTGTCATATTTTGTTAAAAGTGATCATAGTGATGTGATGCTCAAGTCGTACATCAAGCATGAGGTATCCGAACGTAATACTATAGATAGTAATTCTACCACAATGTAGATAATGGCATAATTTGACCGCAATTACAAGCAGGTTCGTTCATGTATAAGTATAGTACTCTTTCAGAAGGCATTTAAAGCCTTTTCCTCTAGTAATAATCGCGCTTAATAGTGGAAAACATTTGGGGATGTGAACCCGCTATAGCTGTACCATGAAAGGAGATTTTATATATATATTCTACTAAAAAAGTTCACTTTTCTTTTTGCCTCGTCTTTATTACAACCTCCCTGTCTCTAGTTCTTTATAGCCGTATTATTGCTCGGCTGCCCTGGTTTCTATCTCTCTCCTTCTTTGTCTCTGTTTCTTGCCCTTTTTGCTAAACTGTCTGCTAGAACCTCGCCCCATATAACTCCGCCCACCACTTTATGCTAATGACCAGATAATTAATTCACATGTTATCAGCCTAATTAATAGTCCACATGCAAATGGAGGGATAAATAACCTCATAATATGCTCCATCACACTTGTTGCAGCATACTCCTATACAGTCAGGAAATTATACATAATTTATGCTAATTGCACTGAAGATTTCCTCCCAATATCTCTGTCCTGCTTTGACATGACACTTGCCTTGAATATTATCAGTAATTGGGATTAATGATAATACGTAAGAAACGTATAAGAATAATGAAGACTTTACAACTGAATATGAATATTAGATGAGGATTATTTTAATTAATATTAAGGATCTCTATTATGATTTATTGCAAGCGTATGTGGTGGATTAATATGGTAATGAATATACATTTTGCTTTGTGCATAGTGGCAATAAATTTGACAGATACGCCTGTGTTTGATGCATGGAGGCCGATCTGTTATTTCAGATGTGTTTTCTGCCATGCATTAATGGGTTGAGGCACCCTGTTGACGACCATTGATTCATGGTGTTTCACACTGCGGCTCCAGCTTGCGTAAGCTGCCAGTTCTGGCCTTTTCCAGACAAAGCATCTTCCTCTGCTGGTTAAAAATGATTATTGCATTGTGAGGAGGTTTTCATTTGGAAATGAATGGATGGATAACATCTCTGTAAGAAGAGGAAAAAGAGGCTTTGGAAGGATAAATATACAGTATGTATGTGTATGTTTGTATAAAACCTGTTTCATTGACAGCTTTTCCTAATGTTTCCCATGATGCAGTGCACTTTGCTCCATACCGGCCACCGGACATCACCCTGAAGCCGCTTCTCTTCGAGGTGCCCAGTCTGACCCCCGATGCGGTTTACACCGGCCGAGAATGGCTGTTCCAGGAAGTGGACGCGTGTCTGCGCAGCTGCGAGTCCTCAGCCAATCAAGGTGTGGTTATTGTTGGCAACGTTGGCTTCGGCAAGACGGCCATCATCTCTCGCTTGGTGGCTCTCAGCTGCCACGGCAACCGCATGAGACAGATCACCTCTGACAGTCCACACGCCTCACCAAAACGTGAGTGGATTCATTCAGACGAATGAATATGTTAACTGTGAATACGTTTCCTTACGATCTAATAAGTTTCTAACAGAAAAATTGTATAGTAGCAAAAAAAACAATTTAGTCATTATTTATTGACCATTGCATTGTGACTTCAAACCTGTTCATTTGTCTGTGAAACACAAAACGAGTTACTTCACAGCTCTTTCCCATCACACCACATCTTTCAAGCTCAGAAAGGACAAAACAAACAAACAAAAAACACCATGAAGGTCGTCAATATGAGTCTTGCATTACATTCTAAGAAACAAACCTGAAACTTTCAGCACTTTCTGAAAGACCTTCATCAAAGAATTTGCTAGTTCATGCTAACTCTTCAAATAAGTTCAATTCCAGTCTGCCTCTTACATAAAATGGCTTTAGAAGACTAGCTAGGTGTTTTAGGCGTTTAAAAAAAAAAGCGTAATAGACATGTTAACTGCAAAATGGAAAATGTTTTTATTATAATTTAAATGCATTTTTTATTTCATAATCTAGAATGTATTTTATGTGTGTGTGTTTGTGTCTGTATAATTCATTATAAATATACATGAATTAGCAAATTATATATACAAAAAAAATAATAGTAATAAAGACTTTCACAACTTCTTACATCTCACAGTTTTTATACATATTTCATTAGTAAGTGCTTTGAAATTCTGAATATTAAAATCCTGCAACACATTTAATTAGCTACAACTGATGAGAATGAGCAATTATGGATATCAGAATCAGAATCAGAAGAGCTTTATTACCAAGTATGTTTATTGTGTTACACACAATATAATATGCATTATGATTTTAGAATCACAAGACTCCACACATTGGTCACAGTGAATAAAATACATATTACGTCACATAATGTCAAGACAATTTTATGGCCATGGATATAGAAACTCATAACGAAATAAAATCACACAATATAACATTATACACTACAGGTTTGAATGACTTGAGGGTGAGCAAATAATGACAGAATTTTCATTCCTAGGCGAACTTTTTTTTATTTAGTTTTTTTTTTTTTTTTTTTTTTTAAAGGGAACACAAATCTTCAGCCCTTAAAATGTCAAAACCATTTTGTCTCAGTTTATGACAAGGCTCACATCACATGCATGCCATGTCTTCCTCTCAGATGGCGACACACTGCCCTTGAGCCAGCCTCAGTCCGCTCACGGCACTCTGGTCGGTGGGAGCAGCTGCCCTGGAACGCCCGAGATGAGGAGACGCCAGGAGGAGGTGCTCAGAAGGCTGGCTTCTCAGGTGCCAACTAATACCAACATAATCAACGGAGCGGGCATATATCCAGCCTGCCGTTCAATCTCCCTCTCTCCTCTTCTCTTCTACTGATTTATTATCTCTCTGTCTCTCCATTTCTTCCTTTGACTCCTTCTTCTTTTATTAATTTGCCCCTTGTCTCACTCTCTCTCGGTGCTTTCCTTTTCTTTCTATTCTTTTAAGCACAAAGGTTTATTGCAGCTCTGTTGCTTTATCAAATATTTATATGTGCAGAGTCTCCCAGCACAGCCATTAGATATACTCAGAGTCTGCATTGCTAATGATGACAAGCTTTTGAACACACACACACACACACACACATGTACTGCGAGATCAAGTGAATCCAGGGAAGCAGCAGTCTTAGAATATTGGAATAAGGCCATCAATGCACTCAAACTCCATAATGTTTTATGCATTAATAAAACCCCTTCATCACATCAAAACTCCTGAGCTTTGAATCTTTCTCTAGTTTTAATATTCATTGTGTTTTTTGGAGCTGAAAGCAGTTCCTGCACTAAATCCCTGAGACTGGAAACATTTCTTTGCTTTTTCTGTCTATTTCTTTGTCTGAACCTACATTTAGCAGGAGCGTCTAGATGTACTGGGCACCTTTACTCTGTTGAATGTGTGACCTGAGTGTTTGGCATACATACAGGAGTAGTGTCTGATGCTGTAATAATGAACAACCATATAAAATGGTTAAAATCCATTTTGACTAGATTATTACATTTGCTTTTACATAACAGTTTAATAAACAAGAAATTAATGTTAAGTACCTTACGCTACTGTTCAAAATTTTCTAAACATTTTTGTTGACCAAGGCTGCGTTTAATTAATTAAAAATACAGTAAAAACTGTAATATTGTGAAATATTATTACAATTTAACATAATATTTTAATATATGTTAAAATGTAATTTATTCCTGTGATGCAACGCTGAATTTTCATCAGTCATTACTCCAGGCTTCAGTGTTGCATGATCCTGATGCATGCTGATTTGCAGCTCAAGAAACTTCTTATCGAAGTTGAAAACAGATTTGCTGCTTAACATTTTTGTGGAAACTGTGACACAATGCCTTTTTCAGGAATCTTTGATAGTTAGAAAGTTCAGAAGAACAACATTTATTTAAAATATAATTTTTTTTTGTAATTAAGTATTTACCATCACCTTTGATCACTTCAGTGCATCTTTTCTGAATAAAAGTATTAATTTCTTTGGGGAAAAAATCTGACTTTTACTACTGAACATTTGGAATAGTAGTTTGTATTCTGTACACAATATTAAAGTTATTGTTCTTGCTTCACCAATGAAGCATTGTGTGTCTCTGAACAACACTGTAGTAGTGTTGTTCAGAGTTTTCGAAATATCTGTTTTCTAAATCATCAATGATTGAAATATCAGCACTCTTGCAACAATATTTGATGTACCAATCAGATTCAGTAACTAAAACTGAATGTTAATAAGCAAAAGTCAAAATCAAGTTTTTCAACCCAAGCTGTGCTGTGAATGTAAATGTTTGTCAGCTTATATCTGCTCTCTCATGTGCAGGTGGTGGCGTACCATTACTGTCAGGCCGACAATGCATACACCTGCCTGGTTCCTGAGTTTGTGCATAACGTGGCAGCGTTGTTGTGCAGGGCTCCTCAGATGCAGGCCTACCGAGAGCTGCTGCTCCGCCAGCCGCACCTGCAGAGCACCCTCAGCCTGCGCGCCTGCGTCCAGGACCCTTTCAACGCTTTCCGCAGGGGCCTGCTGGAACCTTTGGACATCCTGCATCGAGGTGTGCAAATCGTGCGTGCTCTTATGCTGTGCGTATATGTGCTGACATATATGTAATGTTGAACACATGCAATGTTTACAGAGAGGAAGATCGCGTGTGAGGAGAACCTCATCATCCTGATTGACGGGTTGAATGAGGCGGAGTTCCATAAACCGGATTACGGAGAAACCATTGTTTCCTTCCTGTGCAAAACCATAGAGCGTTTCCCTCCCTGGCTTAAACTGGTGGTCACTGTCAGAACGACACTGCAGGTCTGTATTCCATCTATCTGTCCATACATCCACCCATCCTCTTTACTTTTTTACTCATTTTCTCTCTCCCTCTCAGGATATAACTCGTCCGTTGCCGTTCCACCGGATCTCTCTGGATCGGCTGGAGGAAAGTGATGCGATTGACTCGGACTTGCAGGGCTACATCCTGCACCGGCTTCACTCCAGCCAGGAGATCCAGAACAACGTGGCACTCAACGGCAAGCTGGACAACGCAGCCTTCACCAAACTCAGCGCTCATCTGAAAAGTCTGAGCCGGGGGTCCTATCTCTACCTGAAGCTCACGCTGGACCTCATTGAGAAAGGTTACCTGGTGCTCAAAAGCTCCAGCTTCAAGGTCAGGGGTCAATAGACACAGATGCCTCCTTTTATTAACAAATTAAATTAAAGCAAATTAAAAAAATAAAAGAAACATTAAAACTAATTAGAGCATTTATGTATTTTTACTTTTTTCTAGTATAGCTTTTTATTCTATTTTAGCTTTTCAGGGATGTATATGGGATCCCTTTCAGGGATTTTTTTTTAGATTTTTAATGTTGATTTTATTTTAACTTTAAGAGTTATATGTGGTATGAATTTTTTTTTATTTTATGTAGCCGTTCATAGGTATGCATGTGGTGTAATTATTTATTGTTGATTTGTGACCATGGACCACAAAACCAGTCATAAGGGTCAATTTTAAAAAATTTAGATTTATACATCATATGAAAGCTGAATAAATAAGCTCTCCATTGATGTATGTATTTATGTATGATAGGACAGTATTTGGCTGAGATACAACTATTTGTAAATCTGGAATCTGAGGGTGCAAAAAATCTAAATATTCAGAAAATCGCCTTTAAAGTTGTTCAAATGAAGTTATTAGCCATGCATATTACTAATCAACAATTAAGTTTTAATATATTTACAGTAGGAAATTTACAAAATATCTTCATGGAACATGATCTTTACTTAATATCCTAATGATTTTTGGCATAAAAGAAAAATCAATAATTTTGACCCCTACAATGCTTTTTGGCTATTGTTACAAATATACCCCAGCGACTTAAGACTGGTTTTGTGGTCCAGGGTCACATTTTGGTTCTGTATTTTAAGAAAAAAGTAATAGAGTGAATGAAACCCTTTTAGATGTTTTTGAAAGAATATGGGAAAAAAATTTAATTTGAAAGAAAATTTAAAATATATATTTTTCAAGTCTAAGGGCCAGATATATACTAAACAGGACAAATTAGCATTATAGAGCGCAATTCCATAAAAGCTCCGATGGGAGGGGAAATTCTGAGCACATTAAAGAACACAGACGCAGCCAGATAATTTCCATAATGCACAATCTACCAAGAGCAGCGCAAATTACCACCTGCTTTATGACATGCTTTTTTGGGCGTTAAATAATGGCACAGATACCAGCAATTTGATGAGCGCAAACGTTAGTAAATCGCATTGCGTGATTCATTTTAATACTCTCCTCCTATTAATTTTGTGTCTGAAAAGGAAATTCCTACAAATGCATATTCAATAAGGCCAGGCGCAAAAATAACTGTGTCCACGCCTTTTCAGCGCTAATTCTTCACTGCGCGTCTTTAGTAAATCCTGACAGTACCATTTTAACGCCAAAAGAGGGTTTGCGCTGGCGCAAGCTGTTAGTAAATGTGGCCCTATAAGGATTAATATGTTTCATCTTATTAGCATGTATTTATTGTTTTTATTAAAAGCTGTAAGCATGATATTTGTGTGCACAGGTGGTTCCGGTGAATCTGGCCGAGGTTTACCTGTTGCAGCTGAATATGCGTTTCCCAACTCAGTCGTCATTCGAACGCGTTCTTCCACTGCTTAACGTGGCCGTGGCTTCTCTACACCCGTTAACTGATGAGCAGGCCTACAGTGCCGTGAATGCCGGCATGGTGCGTGGAGCGGCCATGGACTGGGAGGATTTCCAGCAGAGGTCTGAACTCCTGTCGCCCTTCCTGGTGAAAAGACGTGATGGCACGCGCATGTTCATCCACCCCTCCTTCAGAGAGTGGCTCATCTGGAGAGAGGATGGAGAGAAGACCAAGTTCCTCTGCGAACCCAGGTGAGAAGTTCGAGGGGTCAAAATGTGTATATTTCATAAAAAGTAAAAGCATTTTTTCTTGTTGAATATCCTAAAGTAAAATCAGATGTGAACATTGTCAATGCCTGAGAAATATAGCTACATCTCTTATACCCCATCTTGTCTCTTTGATTCCTTAGGAGTGGCCACACACTGCTTGCTTTCTGGTTTTCACGGCAAGACAGTAAACTTAATCGACAGCAGACCCTCGAACTTGGCCACCACATTCTCAAAGCTCACATCTTTAAGGTTAGGCTAACTATAACAACTATAAAAGTTTGGATGTTGCTAAATTGAGAGCATAAACTTGACTACAGCAGTATAGAAATGCTTTTGAAACTGATTTATGTAACATTTCCATTGATGTTGTTAATAAAGCACTGTCTCTTGGATACAGGGCCTGAGTAAGAAGGTTGGGGTTTCCTCGTCAGTTCTGCAGGGGCTGTGGGTGTCCTACAGTACAGAAGGGCTCTCTGCAGCTTTGGCTTCATTGAGAAACCTCTACACTCCAAACATCAAGGTATAAAAATAAAAACTGATTTCCCAGTCATAGAAAACCTAAAAACATCTTCAATTTAAAGTTGTTTTCCAGGCCTGGAAAAGTAGTTTTTCTAAGGAAAATCTTAGATATTTCTACAGGGAATGTATAGTATACTACTATTCAAAACTTTGGAATTGGTAAAAAAAAAAAATTTATTATCATAAACAAGAAGAAATTAACATCTCTTAAACATCTCAATTTTAAAACTGAGATAATTAAAATAATTAAAAATACATAATTACATAATTACAAATTAAAAGTTTAGCAAACTGTCTGTTTCCAAATTGTTTACATTTCTTCATACATGACATTTCAAAACTTTGGGTTTGTTAGACTTTTGGGGGGAAAAGTATCTTATTATCACCAATGTTCCATTTATTTGGGCAAAAGAACAGTAAAAACATTGATATTGTGACATGTTATTACAATTTAAAATAACTATTTTTTTCTTTAATATATTTTAAAATGATTTAAATGAATGGTTTTAGTTATTTAAATTTTAAGATTATTAAAAAAAATTTAAATGAATTTGCCTGCATTTATTTGAAATAGGAATGTTTTGTTAGTATTAATACTTAAGTAATAAAAGTATTTACTATTTATTTAGTATTTATTTATTTTGATCAATTTAATGCATCTTTGCTGAATAAAAGTATTGATTTCTTTAAAAAAAAAAAAAAAAAAAGTCTCCCTGAGCTTTTGAATGGTAGTATATATTTTTCTAGTTATTTTATCTTTTTATTTTTTTGTAGTTATATTTATTTCTGTAATATTTATCAGCAAGAAATTGTTCATTTTGAGTGCAGTAAGCTATTATATATAGCATGATTGGAAATGTCTTTATTTCTTAACTCTGAAAAACATTTAGTCTCTTAATTGTTTTTTTATTCCGTCTACATATCCCCGTCTTCCTCTCTTCCTCCAGGTATCTCGGCTGCTGATTATGGGCGGAGCTAACATGAACTATCGTACAGAGGTGTTGAATAACGCCCCCATCCTGTGTGTCCACGCTCACCTGGGCTACCTGGAGACTGTGGCTCTGCTGCTGGAGTTTGGGGCGGATGTGGATGGCGTTTCAGAGAGCGGACTCACTCCCCTCAGCTACGCAGCGGCCGCAGGTCACCTACCTGTCATCACTGCCCTCTGCAGCAAGAAAGCCAAGGTCAGCCATGCCATGTTTAGCTAGAGATGGATAACCCATAAGAATGCAGGGTAGTGGCTGTAGGTTTTGAATTATCAGTCAAAGTTTCATCTCTGTCTCTCTCTCCTTATGTTTCTGTTTAGGTGGATCACCTGGATAAGAACGGTCAGTGTGCACTGGTCCACGCGGGTCTGCGGGGTCATCTAGAGGTGGTGAAGTATCTGGTGCAGTGCGAGTGGAACACAGACGGACAGCAGGCTGGATCCTTCAGCAAGAGCCATGCGGTACAGCAGGCCCTCATTGCAGCCGCCAGTATGGGCTATACAGAGGTAAGAGATTTTATTTTATATTTTTTAATGAATGAATTAAAGAAATTAATACTTTTATTCAGGACACATTAAACATTACATTGATCAGAAGCATCAGTAATGACATGTAGAATGTTATAATGTAATAATGCATGATTTCTATTTTAAATGTGTTTTTTGAACTTTCTATTTATCAGAGAAAACTTGTTTTAACATGTATGGTATTCTTTAGAATTTTATATTTATTATAGAATATAAAATATTACAAATAAATAATATCGTTAATATCTCAATTTGCATTAACTTTAGTAATACAAAGGCAAAAAAAAAATATTGTACAACTAAATTAAAACGAAAAATCATAGTGTGAAAACGAATGAAAATGAATTCAAGCTAACTAGAATTATAACTTAAAAATAATGTGTGTTTGACACACACGTGTGTCTGTGTGTGTGTATATATATATATATATATATATATATATAGCTTATCAGTACATATGTAATTGTTTAATTTAATAAATGTAATGTTTAATTTTTAGATTTGTGCCATTGTATTGTATTATATTTAAAAAAAAATTAAATCATTGTGCTAAATTGCCTTTATCCCTATGTATCTGTACTATGTCTGTACTACATCTGCACTGGAGGCTCTTGTCACCAAGACAAATTAATTATGTGTGTACACATACTTGACAATGAAGCTTATTTTGATTATAATTTTGATTCATTCACAGATTGTATCCTACCTGCTTGACCTACCTGAGAAAGATGAGGAAGAGGAGGAACGAGCTGAGATAAATAACTTTGACACACTGTGGGGTGAAACAGGTACAGGACAACCTGTACTCTGTGTTTTCATGTTAATATGAGTGCACAGATTGCTCACTAAAGAGTCTCTCTCTGCATCTCAGCTCTGACAGCAGCAGCGGGTCGGGGGAAGCTGGACGTGTGTCGTCTTTTACTGGAGCAGGGTGCCGCTGTGGCTCAGCCCAACCGCAGGGGCATCGTGCCACTCTTCAGCGCCGTGCGGCAGGGACACTGGCAGGTGGGCACCTCCAACATCTCAGGAGTCATTTTTACTTTGCACATGTGGTCTTTGTTTTAGTCTGAGATGTCGGTGTTGGCTGTGCAGATAGTGGACCTGTTGCTGAATCACGGCGCTGATGTGAACATGGCAGATAAACAGGGACGAACTCCTCTAATGATGGCTGCGTCTGAGGGACACCTGGGTACGGCCGAGTTCCTGCTGGCTCAAGGTACAGCTGTACTGATCACACACTAGATTAGTTGCTGTAGCTTAATAAGTATAAAAAATAGTAGGTATAAATATAAAGGAATATATTAGTCATTTAAATGAAAGGAAACTCCCAATCAATCCTTTCTTACCTGCTTTTCTAACTTATTTCACAGGAGCCTCATTGTCTCTGATGGACAAGGAGGGGCTAACAGCACTGAGCTGGGCGTGTCTTAAAGGCCACCTCCCGTTGGTCCGTGCTCTGGTTGAAAGAGGTGCAGCGACGGCCCATGCAGACAAGAGCGGACGCACTCCACTGGATCTTGCCGCTTTTTATGGCGACTCAGAAGTGGTTGGTTTTGTTATAGTAAACTAATGGAAAGTGGATCTAGATTGTTTAAAGGGGTCATCAGATACAAAATTCACTTTTACTTTTTTTTTTATAAATCCCCTAAAATAATAATCGCTTTCACAGATCGAGCCATTCACAGATTCTGGCCTGATGTACATCACACAGGCCAAGGCTCCTCCCACGAATATTGACTGACACTGGCATTTTAGCACAGACCCGCCCTGAGGGAGCTGTCATCAGTCCGCCATTGTTTTGAATGTTTCCTAAGCGACTGAGGTGTTTTGTTGCTGGATGTAATAATGAACATAGCAGTAGTCATTTACTCCCGACATCTGAGCCGCTGAAGACATGCAATGGATTGTTTTTTTAAAGGGAATGCATCCCCGATCTACCTAAATGCGTTTATGTTTGCGTGAATCATTCATGATCCAGCTTCACCTACAGAAGAAGTGAGTATAAGGTTTTTTTTATGAATCTTTGCAAGTTTACCATCTCTCAGAGAACTGCGTCACCCCATGGGGGTGAGCAGAGCTCTCATTAGCATTTAAAAGGACATGCTGTAAAATGGGTATAAATGGGTCGCTGTGAACAGAGCTGTTTATAACAGGGTAAAAAGGGTGTTGTTTTACACAACCATTGAGAAATTTGAACCAAAGTGTGTTATAGACTTTTCTTTAAGACCCTAAGTAATCATATCAACTTGTGGAAAATGTGCATCTGATGTCCCCTTTAAAAATATACACCTTAAAGTTCACCCAAACATAACAATTCTGTCATCATTTACTCACCCTCATATCATTCTGTACCTTTATTTCTTTCTTTCTTCTGTTGAACACAAAAGAAGATATTTTGAAGAATATTGGTAACCAAACAGTTGACGGTAACTATTGACTTCCATTCTATTGAAAAAAATACTATGGAAGTCAATGACTACCGTCAACTGATACCAATATTTTTACATTTTCGTCTTTCGTGTTTAACAGAAGAAAGAAACTCAGACAGGTTTGGAAAATGTGGAGGATGAGTAAATGAAGACAGAATATAAATTTTCGGATTAACTTTAAATCTCCAGAATGGGGTGCGCATGCAAATGCTAATAGTTTTAAACGGATATCACATACAGATATACAGACAATAAGCCACAGCTCTGGTGTTGATGTGGTTCCAGGTGCAGTATCTGGTGGATCATGGTGCTATGATCGAGCATGTGGACTACAGCGGCATGCGTCCACTGGATCGTGCAGTTGGCTGCAGGAACACATCAGTGGTGGTGGCGCTGCTCAAGAAGGGCGCCAAGATAGGTAGGCTGGAAGGGGAACTGTTCTTACAGAAACAATTTTTGCTAAACTATGTTCTAAGTATTTGTGGTAAAATGAGCTTCACACACAAGTTCACACAATTTATTTTACTTAAATAAAAAAAAGATGCATGTATTGTGTTATAACTGATTTGAGGTTTTAATGCTGCGCTCCATTCAACCTGGAAAGTCAGAATCACCAGCTTCCTACTTGGGGAAAGAAAATCTAATAAAATACCATTTCTAAGTTGGAAACTCTTTCTGAATAATTCTGGCTGAATATTTTGCTCAGGGAAGAAAAGTAAACATGGTTCTCTTGGTCATTCTGAAATGCTGGAGCCAAAGCATTTTCTGGCACGCTGTTGCTCCTATACATAAAGGATCTGTCACTGATCGCTAGCAACCATGAAGTTCATCAGAGCAGTTTGTCTGCAAGCTTTAATATTACGTTTAAAATGTAAAAAAGAGCCACAGCAGCTTTCTCAGGGCTACAACTTCCATTTCCGTTCCTATTTTTGTTCAGTTCTGTTCTTTTCTGCACATGGGATGCAAATACTGCTTTATTCGCAAATAGTTTTTGTGAATTTTTTTGCATAAATTTGCAGCTTGGATGGAAGCAGAGAAGCAAGGTAGAACATTTAGCAAACATGCTGTTTCCATTTTTTGTATAATTATTATTATAACCAATTAAAATGACTATTTTCTACTTTAAAATGTAATTTATTCCAGTGCTGTATTTCCAAAGCTGAATTTTCAGCATCATTACTCCAGTCTTCAGTGTCACATGATCCTTCAGAAATCAATTTAAACATTCAAGTAACATTTGTATTATTATCAATGCTGAAAACATTCCTCAAGGTCATTGTTACAGAATAAAAGTATTAATTTCCTTAATTTTTTTTTTTAATGTACTGACGCCAAACTTTTGAGTGTATGTCGTACATTCAATAGGACTATCCCTCACTAACATTTGAATGGAGCGCAGTATAAATTCCAATGCTTATACCTTGAAGAAGTGCATTAGAACATAAAAAGCAGATGCATTGGATATACTGTATCATGAAGATCACATGAAATTAGCTTGACATGTAGATGTCTTTCTCCTTCATACCCCTCCCTGTGAGCTCAGTCATCCGAGTCTAACCCTCCTTCTCGTGTGCTCTTCACCGACCTGCAGAACTCCACTGATCTGCAGCTGATCAGGATGGGCTTGTTGCTTTTGCTAATGTTGCTGCTTGCCACAGCTTCTCACGGCTGATCTTCCTTGTTCTTCCTTTCACCTCACTCTTTCACCCCTATCCACCAACTATCAATCTCTCTTGTTCTCTGCCCTTGACTCTCTATCACATTCTTCCTGTTTTCTCTTTTTCATAAACCTTTGCTCCCTGTCTCATACGGATACTTCACTCTGCCCCCAATAACCTGTCACCCTTTCACTCGTGACCCTTCCCACCACTTCTCTCCTCGTAACCAGGATGTCAGACACTCCCCACCCGTGCCCGAGGTAAAACACAGACCTTTGTGCGCCCCATCTGCCATTTTTGACTGTGTCCCTCCATCTCGTTACCTGTGTGGTCCCTTCTCCATTGATCGGGTCTGTTAGTGTTTTGGGTGCCCCGATGTGAAAGGCATTTAATCTTCATATCATTCTTGGCTATGATGAATAGAGCTGCTATCAGCCATAAACATGGGTGGATTTTGTGTAAATTTATACTGCAAAATTCTGATGGTAGATGTTGATTCTTCCCATTAATTTTTTGCTTGCATGGCTGCATGTAGGAAAACCAGTGTTGCATTTTTGCATGATGCTGCAGAATGTTTCTACATGCTGAGTGTTCTGTGGTTTTGGGGAGCGTTAACACAGAATGCATTCTTGCACTGTTTTGCAACTGTTTTTCTATGTAATCATGTGCCATAGAGTCATCTTTGACCACTGCAATGTCTTCAAAGTCGCAATTTCAAAAAGTTAAAAGAAGTTAAAAACTTATCTCGAGATTCCTGTATTTGGTCGTATTGAGATGGACATCTTTTAATGTTGTGATGCTTCTTGCTTTTTGTAGCATCTTGCACCATTAGGATTGCATTTTAATATGTTGTATCAGTCTAAAATAATTTTTTTTAAAACTCATCTCGAGATTTTCTGTTTAGTTCTATTAGGTATCACATTGATTATGCTGTGTCAAGTTGAAAAAAGTTCAAAACGAATCGAGATGCATGCATTTGGTCATACTCTGTTGCGCTATCTTTTAATGTTGCGATGCTTGTTTTTTCAGCATCTTGCGCCATTGGTGTCACATTTTAAGATACTGTGTCAAGTTAAAAGAAGCTAAAAATCATCTTGAGATGCCTGTATTTTGTTCAATTCCTTTGTGTTGTTGTACTGTAATGGATTTTTGCACCATTAGTGTTGCGTTTTAAGATGCTGCTCATGAAACCACATTGCGATAGACGTCTTTGACCGCTGTGCTAATTTTCAGCATCCTGTGCCATGAACGTCACATGTTTAAGATGCTGTAGTTTTAAAAGGCATCTCAAGACACCTGCATTCTGTTCTATTTTGCTTTATTACAATGGACATCTTCAATTGTTGCAACACATCTTGCTGTTTTTTAGCACCTTGTGCCATTAGCTCAGACTTTTAAGATACTGTTTGAAGTTAAATACGTGTTTATGAATACTGTCCGGCTCTGTTGTGTATTCTGCAACGCATCTAGCTGTTTTTGATTGCAAGAATGCATCCTGTGTGAACAAATGCCTAAAATTTTTTCCACAGTTGCTGTCCGTTTGGCTTTTTCGGGCTGTTGTTTGGTACCTGATCCTGTGGTTCCTAGCGTGTCCTCAACTGTGTCTTGCATGAATTGCACTAAATCACTGCCTGCCTGCATACTGCAACTGGCTGCCCATGGCCAAATCTACAGATCTAATAGACCACTATCAATCTCTTATTCCCACCTTCCCTCCACTGTACATTGTCCAAACCAATAGAAACACATGACCACCTCTATTCAGGCTCTCCACAGAGAGATCAAGCATGTTGACTACAAGTTCAGTAGCTGTAGGACTCAATGTTTTGATTGCCAGTATAAACGTGCAATATAACAAAGAGTGAAAAATTTAAGGGGGTCTGAATACTTTCCGTACCCACTGTATATAAAAAAAATGAAGTGAATTAAAGGGATAGTTCACCCAAAAATTTAAAATTATATAATTAATTATCATTAACCCTCATGTCATTCCAAACCCGTAAGACCTTCGTTCATCTTCAGAACACAACTTCAGAACCCTTACTGTGTTTCTGTGCCTAAATCGGGGTCGGACTCTTGCTGTTTATGGAGGGTCAGAAAGCTCTCGGATTTCATCAAAAATATCTTAATTTGTGTTCCGAAGATGAACGAAGATCTTACGAGTTTGGAACGACATGAGGGTGAGTAATTAATGATATAATTTTCATTTTTGGGTGAACTATCCCTTTAAGACATTGAAAGACACCATACACGTTATTGCGTTATATTACATTTGATGTCTACCCTAACTAAAGTCCATGATATCAGTATTACATTGGCCATTAGCCACCCTCCACTGTAGCTAAATATTGACACAAGCCCATATCTTTTGACCACTAATATACTGTAAATCTCCTTGTTTACAAGCATCCATGCAAATATAACCACCTAACCAACAAACTGCACACATTAGTTTTGCATTTGGTCTGTGTTCTTAATTTCTTTTGAAAACACTTCAAAAAGACCAGAGTTTTTTTATTTTCTCCTTTATGGCTACATTATTTCTCATTTTGATCTCACCCAAAGAACATTTTGCATTTGGATTTTCAAACCTCCATCCTCTGGATGGAGAAATCCTCCTGAGACCTCCAAATATACTCCGCTCATGCTGCTGTTTTTCTTGCCATCATGCTCTCATCCTTGTTTCAGTTTGTTTTGTTGGTTCATCAGGTTTATCGGACATTTGTTGGATTTGTTTAACTGTTAGGCATAGTACAGGAAGAGGTTTGAGCTGTCACACTGCATCGTCCCACTGTCCCTGTGGAGCATATATTTGTATGTGTGTGTCAATACATTTTATAAGTATGTACAAGCATTTCCATAATTGTATGTCAGTTTATCATATTTGCACTAATGGTGCTCAAAATATATATTTTTTGTTTATTTTTGTAATAATCAGTGTTCACATCCTCATATAAATGTGACATGTTCATGTTCAACCTGCGTGTGTCTGCATAAGTGATGAGTCTGTGTGGATGTGTGCGTGACAGTGTTTGTGTGCATGTCTGCATGCACATGTGTGTGTGTCTTCCCTCTGACCTCATGTACAGCTCAGTGTATGACTGTTGGTCCTGTTGTTGCTTGCAGGACTTTGGGATGGCGGAAGAGTTTGCCTCCAAGGCACTAGAGTTGAAACCCAAATCCTATGAAGCCTATTACGCACGAGCCCGTGCCAAGCGCAGCAGCAGGTAACCAGGACAGCCTTTAAAACACATTCTGTCTCTAGCACAGATAAAGTGCTGACAGATCATGACCCAAAATTTCGATTGGTTGACGTAGTGCTATGCTAGAGCTTCAAGATAGAAGTCAATTTAGGCCCCTTAACCCCTGCATCACTAGATGTCAACAGCAGGATTAGACCTGTTCTTCATACTTCATGTTTTGTTGACCAATCAGATTCTTTTTCTTTAGAATGTCCATCATTCATATTTTATTCCTTTTCCTCTCCCCACAATTTTGTTTACTTTGACTCTCTGTGCCCAGAACACTTATATCAACTTGCTTGGTTTTGGAGAACCAGAGGTTTTTTGGGTCTATGATTTTGATCAATAGGTAAAATTTCTAACGAACGTTCCGGGTTCAATTAAATTGTTAACTTTGACTTTTACAATGAAAATCTGTGGGCATCCCAGAAGAGCAAAACATCAGAAGTCTGGAGTTTTTTAGGTTTTACTGACTTTACACAGTCATACCAGGAGTTTAGAGAAAATATCTTTGCACTGACAGGGTTCGTAAACTGTACCATCATTAGTCTCATCATTAGTCTTGTTGGCTATACAGTACTTTTAAAACAATGTTTCCATTTATCCTCGTAAAGGTCTTTAACTCATAGACTTCTGCTGTAAGTGCAAGAATGATTTTTGTTTGTTTTTACAAAATGGGGAATGAATCATAGTTATTCTGTGTGGTAATTGACAGCAGGTAATTGACAATCGACTTGCATTGAACTCTGAATAGTCCTTTAGCAATGGTCATTTCTTAGTCTTTATCAGTCAGTTCATTGGTTAACAAGCATATTTCTTCCTTTCTCTTTTCCTACTGACATATTCCACCTTCCTACTCTCTCTCATTCTTGGTCTCCCTCACTGTAGGCAATTCCACGCAGCCCTGGAGGACCTGAGTGAAGCTGTGCGTCTATGTCCCAATAACCGCGAGATCCAGCGCCTGCTGCAACGTGTAGAAGAAGAGTGTCATCAAGTTGAACAACAACAGGAGCTGGATCCGCCTCCTTCCCCTCCCCGCGATCAAGCCCCATCCATGGTTTCGCCTCCTCCAATGGAGCCTCACATTTCAGACATGGAGCCTGTCCAGGACTTGTTTGAGGAGGACGATGATTACCTCGAGCGGGATTTGGACGGCCTACCACTTGGTGTTCCTGCTGAGCCCCACACTATACCATCGGGACTTCCTGTCATTCAAAACATGCCTCCATCTCCGAGCCATCACGATTCACCCTACTTGGGCCAAGCGTATGATTTTCGCCCCAGTCCCCCTTCAATGTCCTCTCCTACCAGGCAAGGCTACCAGTCCCCCTCTCCGTCGCTCTCACCAACGCACCAGAGCTCTCCCTTCCGGCCCAGTCCCCTTCATCAGGCCTCTTACCACTTCAGCCCACCGCCATCACCGTTACGCCGTGGACCACAGTATCGTGCCAGCCCCACCTCTGAGGGAGTCGCCATGTACCGTCCCCAGTCCGCCTCTGCAGGACGGTACCAGCAGGACCAGCTTGCAGGGCGACCCAAGTCCCCTCTGTCCAAGATGAGCAGCCAACGTTCTTTCCAATTTTCCCAACAGACTTCCCAGCCATCACAACAGACCCAGTGGTTGCAGCCAGCCAAAGCACAGATCATCCGCACTAACCAGCCCAGCACTGCGGTGCACTCCAGTGTCGTACTGGGTAGTAGTGCATACAGTCAGATTGCTCACTCGATGAGCGCCCGCTGCCCAGGAGAAATGGATGAGCTTGGGGATGGAGGGTACTCTTCCTCACTTCAACCTCAGGGCAGTCTGAGTGCAGGGGCCTTGTACCAGCGTGCCATCAGCATGGATCCTGGCCTTGTGGAGGACGAGCTCCCTCAGAGGCCCTCCTCTGCATACAGACCCAATCCCGGAGGAGTCCGTTACGCTCAGACACCACAGATCAGCCGCAGTCAGTCGACCGCCTACTATCCAGTCTCGCCTCACGAAATTGAGCGACAGGTGACTCTGGGTTCACCAGAGAACCTTCAAGCCCACCGACGTCCAGTCAGCGCGAATAGTGCTGAACCCAAACAGCACCCACCAGCTCCACGCCCCCTTATTCACTCCCACAGTACGGGTCTACGCTTCTCTCCATCCAGCAACAGTTTGGTGGCAGGTTCTGCTGCTAACCTAGGCCCAGGGTTCAGGGTGTCAGCTTCTGTGCAGCAAATGGAGATCCCTCTAAAGCTTTCCTATGAAGGCGGCTACCATGATGACCTTTCACCGGTGTCACCCCCACAAGGCACAGACTTCCGGGTGGTGGGTGGAACATATCCAGGAGAAGCACTTCGCTCCCGCACTACACCTTTCATGGGAATTATCGACAAGACCGCACGGACTCAGCAGTACCTTCAGCAGCAGCCTTCGCTGGCATCGTCCTCTTCGGGTTCTCGACCCTGGACCGTTTCTTCTCTGGATACGGTGGTGAACAGTCCAGCCACTTCCCCTAGCAACATGGGCTATGGACAACAAGCAGCACCCCTCAGCCATATCGCCTACTACAACCGCACCAACAACGCTCACAATGGCCACCTCATGGATGACGATTTCTACGCCAACTCCCCTGGTGTGACACGGGACCGGGCGGACGCTATGAGCAGAGTTAGCCAGGTTCCCACATACCCGGATGTGAAAGTGGCACGGACTCTGCCAGTTTCCCAGGCCTACCAGGACAATGAGTTTAGGCAGATGTCTCGAAATGAAAGGCAAGGCCCAACCTCACCCATTAAACCAAAGAGACCCTTTGTGGAGTCTAACGTGTAAGAATAAAGAAACGGTGTGCAAGATTTATTAGAACATTCTCGAGGAATATCTAACATGTTGACCATCTTATCTCTTCGTTTTACGTCCCATATCTTGATAATGAAAATAAAGACCTCTCAAGGTGAATTTCACTGATGTGAATCTAGCATGTACAAATCAAATGCATCTATATTTGCTCTGGACACAAAAATGGAAGTATCAGGACCCATTGGAGTTATAGTAGGCCTGTGTAACTGCTGTACACCAACCTTCTACTTTTCTGTACCTTTCTGAGAGGGTGGCTTCTCAATGCCAGTCATGGACACATTGCTGAGCATGGCCCCTGGACCAGATGTCCTCACTAATGTTCCCACTCAAACCAGTAATATCCCTGAGAATCTGGCTGTGTCTTGAGTTGAAAATGTACCTAAAATATTCCAGATCAATATTGCTAAAGCAAAAAACTAATATTTAAAATTAAGTTATGTTTGTATAAATATATATACACCTAAATTTCAATGCAGTTGTGTTTTCAGTTTGCCTTGAGTTGACATGCACTCAGCAATGTGAAATATTTTTTAGACTTTTCTGGGCATTTTTATTTTTTGTCAACAGGTTATAAAGGTCAACAGGATCGCTACCTTTAACGCAATGCAAATATCTGTAGTGTTTGGTTAATAATTTCATATCTGCTCAAGGGAAGTAGCATTCAGGTGGTCAGCTGTTAATTTACTCGCTCTAAAGTAGTCACACCACTAAAACGGAAATTGTCTTTTCCAAAGAAACCTTTCTCATGGGAAGGTAGGCGTGGGGAAAACTTTTTTTTTGCAGCCTCCGAATTCACATGCTCTCATTCATTATGTTTTGAGAGTTTATTTGTGCACTGAAACATGCCTTCAGAACATTTTCCCTGTTTGTTTTAAACTGTGAGTACTTGCTTTCAAATATGGGAAACCTGACTTGATGTCAAAGCCTGTGTCATGTATCGCTATTGAACTAACACTATTGGTAGGTCAGGCACTTTTTTACGGATGTCTTGGTGGGAAGATGGTGACACATCAGATTTTCTCACTGGATCTGACTTTACTAATCAATGTTCAACTGCTGTTGAAAAAGAGCAGGTCTTTTTGCAGTGTTTTAATTATTATTATTTTCTCATTTTAAAGTTATATGAGGTGCACTCAGAGTTGACCTGGAATACTGCTTACTGTACAACAGTGTTTGTATTTAACTTTGTTTTCCTTTTGTATGACCAAAATGTAAATGGCTGTAAATAATGTGCTGAACTAGAATGCATGCTCTCTGCTAATACACAAACCTGAGTGTGTGTATGTGTGTGGTTTTATGTATGAGGGAAAAGACTTTCAGATCCAATCTGACTGAAACATTATTTCATAAAGATTTGCAAGTTAGGTCAATGTGTGGGACGTTTATCTGCCAAAAGTCACCCATATGTGAAAAGAGTGTTTATTTATAGACTAATGAAGTTAATAATCATGTGTGTAGTACACTGAATTTAAGTACAGTATTCATGATTTCTGCAGTAAATGGGCACATAAGGAATATCATCTTGAATAAAACCAGCATTTGATGCCAAACCATGAGAGATGTAGAAAAGAAGACAAATATCATTCATATTCACTGAAAGACTCATTCACATGGTGACTCACTGATTTCCTCCCGTTCAAAATTTTTACCTCAGCTTAGTGACATCAGTTTGTTTTTTTTAAGCTATATTTTTCAGATACATTCACTGACACTCACATGATACTGAAGAGCAGTTTCTCTGTGATTCTGTTTCTAAAGACACGATAAACCAGAACAGCTGCGGCAGAGAAAGAACAAGAACTAATCAAGTCATATTTTCACACGCAAAATTTATACTAAGAGTATAAATTAACAGAAGAAATATAAAAGTCTTAAAGATACAGGACCAAAAACAGCCTGCATCAGGTTTGAAATTCTACAGATGCTGTAACCTGATGAATAACATGTCCTCCCATGTGTTTTTTTGGCCTTTCTACACGCAGACAGATGCCCTCTGGGCTGTTTTTACTGCTGCTTTTTGGGACAGCTAAACCTCTAATAGGCCAGTGACATTTCAGGTATAATGTCCTAATTGAATTGCCATGACAAGGGCGTTTTCAATCAGACGAGCACTGCTAAAGATATTAGCTCAGTATCTGTCTCTGTTGAGTGTTTTAAGTGTCCAGATGGAAGAACCATGAATTGACTGTGATTATGCTTTAATAATATCTCTCTTACTATTTTTCCTTTGTCCTGTGACCTTGCCTACAGCAGTTACCGATTAATAGAAAAAAGCACACAATACCGACTCTCAGCAGGGCTTGATCTCTGTTTAAAAAACCACCCGTGAAGTATCCCAGCCCATATTGATTAATATATATCAGGGAGCAAATCCGATATTAGCTCCGATAATAGCATTAGCTGGCCCTTCCTGTTCAGTATTGTGTGTTTTATTGAAAGCAAAGAGTCACATACACACACTCTTAAGGCTGAGAGACAGAAGACACACAGATGTCCTATTAGACCATTACATTCAAGCTCTTGGTCTCCATAAGCAGCTGATGAATCATAAATAATAATAATAATATTACAACATTAAATCTAGTATATTTTGATTTCATATTGATTTATTTTTACAATATATATATATATGAAATACTTTTTATATGTTGAACATTTTAACCACAATTTAAACCCAATACTGTAGATTTAAATACAGTTTGAGTGAAATAATAAATGGGTTGATCGTCAAATAATGGCAACATTTGTTCATGTTACCAACTCGGCAGAGGAAAGCTTGGTTAATCACTAATTTCAATGTATTAAAAAATGATTAAATGGAAAAATGATTCATTTTCTAGGCTGTTGTGGCTAGAGAAAATACATCTATTCAATATTCAATATTCAGGGCTGTAAACCTGAAAGCCCAGAGAAACTACATCAGTAGTCTTGGGTGTCTCCTGAACTGCAACTCTTCTTTTATTTTCTCTTTGCAAACTTCAAGTAAATGAGGATAAAACAATACATATGTTATCTTTACACTTAATTCTTACCATCTCCATAGAGGAAGACCAGGCCGAGGACCATACAGAGAGGGTGGACGTTAAACTCTTGTGTGGAGCCGTCCCAGGCGTAGCCTCCGCGGTAATGTCCCATCCACACGCCTGTGATCACCACACATGCCACCCCCAGCACCTGAGAGCCCGCCACGTACCACGGCAGCGTCCGCAAGCCACCCATGCTCACCGGCATACCCTCCATCACCTGCCAGACAAGAAAGAGCAAACTGGAAAACCTTTCAGGGATGTACAAGACTCCACCTCTTGTGCAAATTAAATATTTCATGAATTATAGTGATAGTGGATTTGCTTCCACTATCAAAATAGACAAATTTGACCCATACATGTTCTAGATATAGGCCATATGTTCAATGAGACACATAAGTACAAAATAGTTTGTACTTTTCGTTCTATATTTGCAATATTATTTCACATGAAATGTGATTTTAATATTGGCAGTGAAGAAGCTGCATGAATGTGTAATAAGTCTTAACGTTGTGGTTTGGATAGTCGCGTGATGCCTTATAAAACCTTTAGTAAACCCATTATGCAGATGTGTTTAAGTATCATGTGGTCTTTGCCAGCCTTACGAAGCACAGCATCCCCCCACTGTAAAAACAATCAGTTATATGACTGCATGATGATTAACAAGCTTAAATTCCCATTTAGCTGACACAAACACATCATGTTTAGAGCTCTAGAACCACTAACCTCGTGGTGATAATAACAAGCTATACGATGAAACCTGTATAAGAGTGGGAAACTCCTCTAGACGTCATGCAAACCATAATCTAGAGGTGATGCCATTTTAAAATGCATTTGCCACTAAGTTATGGTGCAGCAGCACGCGCTGTCAATAGCATGGAAAAAGTGTCACTCACCTGCGCCACGTCTCCAGAAAGCCAGAGGAAAGGGCGTATTTGTATGATTGGGTATTTTGGACAAGAATCACAAGATCCTTATTGCTTGAGGGGTTTTGTAACCTACTTTCAAAATTGCATCTGATGTTCTCTCTCTATAGAGTTCACTCGAAGCCTCTGCAGATGTAGACGCACGACTTACACGCCTGCCTGCTCTTTCATATACTAGTGTTATAGCGCACGGCTTGACGCTCTTGGAAGTTGACGGGCAGATTCTGACCACGCCCCCGCGCTGTCACTATTGGCTGGCCAATCACAACGCACTGGATAGTTGGCCAACACCTCTCCACGTCACGACTATCTCCAAGATTTCCTCTAAGAATTTTTTTTGGGGGGGGGGGGGGGGGGGGGGTTATTATGCAGAGGATGAGGTCTGAAACGCACTTCAGTTGCCTTGGTAACCACATCTTTGAGCGATTGCTGATGATTTGATCATCTTGTCTAAATCATAGGCTAGACAGACGTTTTTACTGCCAATAATTTATCCAGTAATTCTTCCAATCCAATCATTCTTAAAGCATTTACTTTTATTTAAGTGCACTATGCTGTTCAAAAGTTTGGGGTCGGTAAGATTTTTAATGTTTTTAATGTTTGAAGAAAGAAAGAAGTTTCTCATGCTCACCAAGTGTGCATTTATCGGATTAAAAATACAGTAAAAATAATAATATTGTTAAGTGTTATTATAATTTCAAATAACTGTTTTCTGTTTGAATATTTTTAAAGTCTTCAGTAGGCCTATCATATGTGAGAAATCCCAATGCAGGTTTGGCGCTCAAGAAATATTATTATCAATGCTGAAAACAGTTTTGCTGCTTTATTTTTGTACAAACCTTAATACATTCGGATTCTTTTATGAATAGAAAGTTCAAAGGAAGAACATTTATTTAAAAAACAATATTTTGTAACATTATAAATGTCTTTGCTGCCACTTTTGATCAATTTAAATCAACTAATTTCTTTAAAAATATGCTAAATAAAAGTAATAATTCCTTTAAAATGTGTGTAAACAAAAATGTATGTATTATTGTTACTTATTTCATTTTTTTCATTCAGGCAAAAACTGTGATGCTAGAATAAACGGTTTGGAATATGGATGGATGGAAGTAAAAAGAAAAACGAATAATATAAATAAACGAGTAAATAAATTACATTTTAAATCAATATATTTGCTTATTTACATAGGCAGATCAAAACCTTTTATCTTTTGAAGTGGATCAAAACCTTTTATCAAAGTTGTCCTAAAACCTTAAATCAAAATCTGTTCTTTGATTAACTTTTTTGATCCACTTCAGATGTTGACTACTGTATATATATATATATATATATATA